AGGCTGATTCGAAACCTAACTTTGTCCACAAAGGACGATAAATGCAAATTTATTTGACGTGAAAAAGTGTGACTTATATATTTTCGACTTTTCTCTTAATTTTTTCTCAAAAATTATGCACGCAGAAAAAGATGTCGTTAATTTCCATCACAGGCAGTAACGCGAACTACAATCGTGTGTGAGTGTGTTGCATTGCTCATTAAGGTGTTATGCGGGCGTTCCAAATCTCATATTACAGATGCAACATTGGCGGTTTTTCATGAGATGCTTCTTTTTACGCGACGCAGCACTGGAGAACAAATGTCGAAAGCTGCCCAATCCACCGTCGCCCAGAAACGACAGACGGGGCACAGTCTGTAATCAGAGAAGCTGACGAAGTATCAGATGCAGGTTTTACGCACGAAGCTTCATTTAACACGGCTGACACCAAACCTGTTAACATAATTGCAGGCAACGGAGGAGACTAAGAAACTCATTCGACACCAAGTGTCGTCTCTCCTGATGGCCCACAGGCCGCAGGAAGTGCTTTCCAAGGTCAAACGTAATGCGCTTAGAGAACTCAAGGCCGACAAAGACCTGATCATCGTGACAGCGGACAAATGACGCGCCACAGTTGTACTGGACAGGACAGACAACCTTCAAAAAGCCAAAGGTTTACTGGAGGACCGATAGATCTATGTTCCATGTGCAGCGAACTCTTTAAAGGCGCTGGCACGCGAACTTAATGCTACGTTGTTGGCCTTGGAGAACTCAGGTGCAATAACACCGACCGGCAGACGCATGACGAGACCCCAAGATACGACTTTGGGCCGATTCGCTAAGGTGCACAAAGACGGTGCTACTCTCCGACCCATCGTGTCGCTCAAAGGGACTCCAACGTACAGACTGGCTAAATGGCTGTTTCGGCGTCTCAAGTTCCTGACCGCTGAGTCAGACACCACGCTCTCTACGTCATCACTATAGCTGGATAAACTCAAAGGGGTAAGCCTCCGTCCAAATGAGGTCATGGTATATTTTGATATTAAATCGCTTTTTACTTCTATTCCACAGGACCTGGCGATCCAGACAATTGAACTGCTACTACAAAGCAAATTCGATGAAACAGAGAACCGTCATGGACACGCCCAAGTCATTTATCTCCTGAAGCTCTGTCTCAGGACGTACTTCACGTTCGACGCGACAATCTACGAACAGGTGAAGGGCACACCAATGGGTTCGTCGATTTCTGATTTATCGCCGAGGCGGTCCTGCAACAGTTAGAGTCGCTGGACTTACAACATCACAGACCGAAATTCTGGGCCCGGTATGTGGATGATACCTTCGTTGTCATCGAACGGGATCAGGTGTTGACATTCCAAGAACATCTCAACGGCGTCTTCCCGGACATTCAATTTACGATGGAGGAGGAAGAGAACAACCAGTTGGCCTTCCTGGATGTCCTCGTATGCCGCAAAGACTGTGGTGAACTAAAAACTAATGCGTTCAGGAAAGCGACAAATACGATGCAAGTACTGACCATCAGCAGTAACCACCCAATCAACCACAAACACAGTTATGTAAGAACGCTCTTTCGGCGTGTCGAAACGCACTGCAGTGAGCCGGAAGACAAAATTGCTGGACTACAATACCTCCGACGGGTCTTCAAAGCCAATGGCTACCCGCGCAACTTCGTCGACCGGTGCACACACAAAAGGGACGAGAGGGCTAACCGCACGGACATCAAATCTTGGCGGGTACTTCCATATGTCAAGAACGTTTCGGAAGCTGTCGGCCGCCTTCTCGCATCACTTGGGTTTGGAGTGACACACAGACCGGAGGCAACCATTAGGCGTCTGGTCATGAAACCGAAAAATCCACTGTCACGGCGAGAAACGTCTGGAGTCGTTTATCGGATCTGGTGCAGTTGCGGACAAAGCAACTACGTCGGAGAAACCGAAAGACAGCTCCGAACGAGAATGGTTGAACACCCGGCAGCGGTGCGCAGAAATGACGCCAGCTCTCAAGTAGCGGCTCATTCTACGAGATCCGGCCACACATTTAAATGCGATGAGGCCGATATTCTCGCAAGAGGTGACAACCCAGTGGGGCGGGTTCTACTGGAATCATGGTTTACTGGCCCCCAGTCTATCAAAGATTGCAAAGGGCTTCCCACTCCATACTGCGTGCTAAAATTTCGCCTAGGCGGAGTAAAAAGCAATGCGAGGAGCGCAGAGTTGAACACTTTTCCCAACACCGGAGACGGTTTGTCAGATGGTCGAGCAATCATTGCGCCAACATCCAACGCACGTGATGAAATTGCAGCAATTATCGACTCGAATGTCGACCACCAAGCAGTGGTCACAATAAGTGCGACAATTCCGGATGAAGGGGGAGGATCTTGAATGTTCATAGGTATCCGGTAACATGGCTACTGCATCCTATAAATACAGCAGCCCTTTGTGCAACCACCACCCGTTTCTGTTCTTCTATCTCTGATGACTGGTTGGAATGCACTCGGTGATAGGGGAATGTCATCTAAGGGAAGATGGGAGTCATTGTGACTAAATATAAAATTTTTTATTTAGGGAGTCTAAATCTGCATCCACATGCACCATCGTGTTGCGATGGCCAGTGAGACGCTTAAGATTTTTCCAAATCTCAGCTGAGGAAGGGGAGAAAAGGGGAGAGTAAGAAGATAAAAAAAGTTGGCTGACAAACAGGCTATTTAGCCTGTCAATCTCTGTTTTTAGTAAGACGGTTACGTCCTTAATGTTATTACGTAAGCGTAGCTTGTAAAGGAGTTTTTTTACGCCTTAACGATTTCAGATAGGGGGAAGACATTCTATCCGGCCGTACGCTAGCAGTATCAAAAGGGCAGCAAATATCGAAAATTTCATTTAAAAACGCTGTCAGGTTGGAAGAACAGGATTCAACATAAGAATGTTCAAGGAAAGTGGAGCTACTAAGAGAAATGCAAGTCTGAAGCATGAGAATGTTTTGGACAGAGGTGTTGCGAACCTTAACCTTTCTCTCAGGCTTCGCAAGCACTGCACGTTTTAAGGTGGAATAGATTTTTGGAAGACACAATAAAGTGTAATGGTCAGAACCTGACAATGGAGCCCTGTTTTTTGTGCAAAAAATCATGCTGTGGTTAGTCAGAATATGATCAAGAGGGGCATCTGCGCGAGTATTGAAGGAGACAATAGCCTTGAAGCCTAAAAGTGTAAGGGGACGTAAATTCACGCGATCAAAATCACCGCATAAGAGAGTAAAATAGTCGCAGGATAATACAGCAAGTTGTTGTGATAGGAAGTCGAAAAAACGGGTTAAAGCGCCTTCACAGGAAGAGGGGGGAATGTAAATACTTACAAATATGATGCCTTTAAAATTACTTAACAAACGAGGCTCACATAAAACAACAAGTCCATCTATCAAATCATCAGAGTAAGAAAAAAGGGACTTACAGTCTGTACACAAATTTTTATTAACGAAAATGGCAACGCCTCCACATCTGCCACAAGATAAAGATTTTCTATCCGTTCGAAAGCAGTAGAGGGATGAGGGAGTAATAAGTTGCGAATCAAGGTCACCATTTAGCCACGTCTCTTGAAGGCAGACAACTTTAGTTTTGCTGTGTTTTTTTTGACAAAAGTAGCTCCAAATCATGGGCTTTGTTGAAAATAGAACGATAGTTTGTCGACAAGAAGTCAGTAATTGACAATTTGTGATTTGGCTGACGTTTGAATGCCAATTGCCAGCCACAACGGTGTTTTCTCCGATGCATAGGCCATTGTTGACGATTATTTGATAAATTCAACATAGAACGATCGCAAGTACGACATATTGGCCGTAAAGTACAACAGTTTGCATCATGGTTGTTCGTAAGTGAAATTGACAAGTTATGTACGTTCAAAAGGGTACCATCGTACTGTAGAGACGACCTCATAATCTTAGCTGAGACAAACAAAGGATGCAAAACAGTTCACTATATCGAGTATAAAAAAGGCACAATAATGTACATTAGTAAAAATCCACACGGGAATGGAGAGCTACAAAATGGCGGCTCAAATTAAAAAGCCCGCCAATACTAGCATCGGTTGAACTTCCAGACGAAAAAATGCGTTTAGCTGAATTCTGTTTTTACGGGCAGGTTTACGCCATAGGTGCCGGTCCTAGGCAGGTAAGTGCATATTTCTGTGTGGGTCGATTTTATGGCTCATAACACTAGGTTGGTGCATGAGCACTCAACATCTCCGATTCGAATGGCGAGTTGGTAGTTTTCCGCGGGCTGTTCCTATCTAAACCAGGGAGGCCCATCTGGAAAAAGCCTAGATCAGAAGCTTCAATTCCGACAACGCCTATGGGAAAACTCCTTTGCAAAATAGTCCGAATCTGTTTTCAGTCTGCGACACAAAAAATGGACATCAAAGCTGAGGGCATGAAACGGCTAACAAAAATTTGTGCAAGGTTGTTGTTGGGAAGAATTTGAAGCGGTCTAGCTTGTAGTGGTCAAGGACGCGAGATCAACTTAAACCGCATACGATAATTTTGCTCCGACTAGTAACATAAGTCAGGAAGTTGTGAGAACAGGGTTATTCTGTATACAGGGCGGGTCGCCGTAAGTTGGCTGTACACTTGTGACAGAGATAAGCGTTCGTGCCGGAGGATGTCAGTTGCGGAGCCTTCTGTGTGTCGCTACCACTAAAAGAGTGCTGTGTCCTTTTTGCCTCTGTCCTGTCTGCTCAATTTTTCGTCCCCAAGGAGGGCGTCCCGTTTGTGCACTTGTGACCAATCAGAGAAAGAGATCGCATTCATTAGCTTCCAGAGCACATGAGGGTAGTGACAATTCATCTACCAGGAGTGTGGTGTGGACGGGATTGCAGATCGAAGCTTAACGAACGCAGCCGTGACGCGTATACAGAAGAACGAGGGGACAGAGAAATGGCCGCTACAACTTCCCCCCCCCAGATACCAAGCGAAGTGTGGGGGTCGATATGCTAGCCAGTCACGAATCTGTCGGGTCAGTGGACATGACGACCGGATATGCCGTGAAGGATATCAAAGCCTTGTCGGCGCTTAGTGGCTGGGACAAATGGGCGGTCGTGACCAGTAGAAAGGTCACAAGTGATGGTGCCAGCTTGAGCGGGAAGAGGGACATCTAGGAGAATTAGATAAGAGTCCGTAGGGCGATCGTGAGGGAGGTCGTCATCAGTGCGTTGAGCGTCAGCCATGAGCGTGAAATCGATTGCATGTGACGTGACGGAGTTCACCTGAATTCTGGAGAGAGCATTAGCAACCACGTTTTACTTACCGTGGACATGTTGAATGATGCAAGAAAACTGGGAAATGAAATCTAGATGACGAATCTCACGGGATGAGTATCCATCTGGAGGAGTTGTCGTAGTCGGCCCTCCTCTGTCATTACCACGCGCTTTACCATAGCCTCTTTCAGTTTATCGAAGGGCTGCTCCGAAGAACGCTGGATGAAGAGGTCGCAAAGGTCTTCGGCATATTCGTCAGGAAGAATGCGCTGCAGATGGTTGAACACGGTCTGCTGACGAGTAATGTTGCAGGCTACGAATTCAGCCTCGCAACGTGCAGTCGAAAGCTCCACATTGGGCAGCCAGAAGTGTGGTAGTTTAACAGAGACATGCGATGCGGAGGGAGGGGACACGGATGTGGCGGGTGCACCTATCATGGTGAACAAAAGGACGGATGACTAAAGGAAGGTCTGACGAAGTCCTGTGCGTGGGAAGTCGGGATCACCAATTTCTGTCCAATAGGAGGATAGGCGTTGGTATGCTTTCCAAACCAGAGCGTTTATTTGCAGCGTTTAAAACTGGCGTTTCCCCGAAAGCGAAGAAAAGTGGTCGGAATTGCCACTCTATGCACTAAGTGCACTTGAGCAATGAAAACCAGTGCGTAAAAGAGTGCTGTGGTTGGCTGTCTGGCTGGTGTGTAATTGACTGACCCGCAGGTAATTCCAACCTGAAAATTAATGTCCTTGAAGAGTGATTGCGTGAGTTATATCTTTGTCCTTCTGAAGTCTGCTAAAGCAATCACAGATTACATACTAACCGCTTCAATCCCGTGTCGGGATTAGACTTTAGACTTTATCTAAGTGAATATAATTTGTGAGAGTATCTCATATTCATCTCAGTCTTGCCACCTAATGCGTCGAATTGGTTTTCGGAGTTGATCAGCTGGGATTCTTTGTAGCATTACCAAATGATTGCTTATACGATGCCATCGTCGAGATGCTTATAGGTAAGGCCCAGGGAAAAACACTGAGAGCCCTACTAGAGACCTAAAGCTCCTGTATCTGTACCATGCAATAGCACAAGGTCGGCGGACGACAAGCTTATGTGCCTTCATCTATTAATTGTGTTGTTAACACGGATAATCACCTTGTATTCACGTACTACTGACTGTCGATTGACAGGCTGCAAATATTGCGCAGTTATTCAACAGTAGCTGATGGATTCCGACTCGCTTATTCACATGTAACAGGTCAGGCCGTGCCTAAACAGCTTTACTCTGGAAGGTTTTCTCCAAGTTCGCGGGTTAATTTCCCTCGAAATCAAACAATTACTTTTGACTGGCGGACAGTAGACGGCTTTGATCTTGGAACAGAAGTTCTTTCATTCGTTGCTATTCGCGTGTCCTTGGATCTCCTCGGCCTTGCGAGCCGTCCAGGCGTCCTGAATCTCGCGCAGTCGCTTTTGGAGGAGTCGACGACAACGATAGAAGGCAGTTCTGTTGTCCTACGTGGGGTGGCCTACATAGGCTTTGTGCAGGTGGTTCTTCTCGGCGTGCAGGTTGCCGATGGCGACGTCTTTGTCGTCCGGCCAGTCCTGGTGTTGACGGCGTGCACGACCAAGGACGACCAGAGCCGTCTCCTTGATTGTGTCCAGCAGTTGACACCATCGATTCTCCACGGAGGCGTTCTCGTCATCGGTGGCGGCAGCGACTGCAAGGCTGTCTACCAGTTTAAGTAACTCGTTGCTGAACTGACTGTGGTGCGCGAGCAAAAACAACAAAGCAATATTCAGCCTACCTTGGGGTGTCTTACCTTGTGGTCTCCTGCGAGGCTCTGAGTGAATCCGAATCTTCGGGATGACCAGACGATGACCGCTCCACCCTTGAGGTGTCAGAGCTGGTCTTCGGTGGAGAGACGACGCTGGTGATGGTGGGGAATTTGCCTCCCCGATGAGGCAGGCCAAGGCTCATCAGACGATCGTTTATGCTTTAAGGCAGACAGGGCAGTCGTCCAACGGTGGCCTTTCGGATGGCAACGACGACACCCGCGTCCCGTCCCTCTACCTCGGGGCAACCACGCCAGCGGAAGGTGAAACCGGCGCTCACCTCCTTTAATTGGCCTTGTTTGGAGAACCGGATCTTGCTGAGTGCGACGATGTCAACGTTATAGCGCGCCAGTTCCCGAGCCATTAGCACTGTCCTCCGTCCATGTCGGTTACTCCTCGGATTGCCTAAAAGGGAACGAGTATTCCAGGCTGCCAGAGTGAGCGCACTCACCCTGCCATTCTGGCGAGTGCGCTAAAGATGCGGAGGAGGAGGAGGAGGGGAGGTAGAAGATAACGAAGGAGGAGGAGAAGGAGGAGGAAAAGAGAGCGTATGGTTGTTGTTTGTTCGATTTTGAATGTTACGATCTCCAGCATTGCTTTAAGGCGTCTTTTTAATCACCTTTCCCCTTGCGGGGCAAGCAGCGCCTCTTTAAATAGTGCTGGTCGCTAGTGTCAGACGCTGCCGAATTCCACTTTGGACGACGTCTGTGGTGTAATGAAATAACGACCGGAGTTAGCCTGAAGTGCTTACATCGCCGTAAGATTGTGGTCCATTGCGGAGCACCAGACGGAGCCTCGACTCGACGATGCCGATGCGAAGTTCCATCCGACCAGCCGATCAGCGGAGTTCACAATAACGTGTGCGCATATGCACACACGGATATCCTCGCGTGGTTTAGCCCGCCGATTGAGGTGGTCGCTTGGCAGAGCCTAGTTTCAGGGAACCACATGTGAGAGTTGGGTGCCAGCATATGGACACTAGGCGTAGTCTACACCTGCAAGCAGGCGAGCGGCCTACTACGACCGTTAAGTGAACCCACAGCTGGACACCCAACATCCCGTTACTGCGATTAATCATTCAGCACTTCCATACTACTTGCTACCTACGGGTAGGTTGTTAATATTCCACGGGTTATTCTATAGTAGCTGACGGATTTCGACTTAATTATTCATATGCAGATGGTCGTACCGCGCCGAAACGACTTTTCTCTGGAGGGTCTATTTCAAATTAATGAGCCAATTTCCCCCGAAATACAATAAACCTTTAAGAGTTGATGCCAAACGCGTATGCATGACATCGGTGCGTTTTAGAGTGATCAGATCACAATTTGTTCCTTCTGCATAATGATGCCAGCATGCTTTGCATCGCTTAGCAATTATTTTCCCATGCGAAACATAATTTGCTACTTCATTAATGCCCACTTTATAGTGAATACTTTGTGTGATTAGTCAGATGAAATGCAGAGTCTTAATGCCTGAGACACACCCTTCCGATCTTCATTAGCCTGTACAATTATATGTTCGAAATCCGCTGTCCAAGGCAAAACATCAGCTTCATGTCGGGCGATCACATCCTGTAACTGATATATTCCTTG